CCGTTTTACTGTCTGCCAAAAACAAGCCACAAGAAAGCCGAGGAATGACCAGGAATTGAATCCAGAACTTCTGATTACGAGTCATAGGTGCTACAACTACACCACCGAACCCCTTCACACCACCCAACACATTCTGTTGAAACTCTGAATACCATCCTCATCTGTCACAAAGTATATTTAAGAAAAACGTTTCCCCCCGAAATTTGTACATCTAGGGCATCTACCTCCAAAGTCGGATTTTTTTCTGAACTCTGCATCCCAAAAGGTACATGTGTACCAGGTTTCAGATTATTTGTCCCCTATATTAAGACCTTGGATTGTGTGTTTGGCCGGTTTAGCGCCACCCTGATGGTGATATCCATACACTTTTTTTGAAACCTTTGGAAACTTAGTATCATAAATCCCATTGGCTGATCATCCAACGTGCCGAATTTGAAGTTTCTAGGTCTCTCCGTAATGAAGAGAGGGCCATTTGAAATATGGTAGTGACTCTATAGACGAATACGTCAAAATGACAACCCAATTTCTTGAATCGGAAGAATAATATCTTTCCTTTACTAATATGCACATATTACTTACCAATGTAATTTCTTGTGAGGAACACTAGCTGAATTCAAATCGGATTTTGAAAATCATCAGACTTTTCAATTATCAGGAATCGAGCGATGAAGGAAGAAGAGCAATTTTCCAAAGCATATGAAAATCAAAATTTGGAAAACGATGACAGCGCCTCAGAAAATGCTGATAATAACTCGGAATATTAATTTTAACTTGTAGTATTTTTAATTGCATTTTCCGTCGTGTGATTTACTTGGGCTGAGAGGTGGAAGTTGGAAAGAAGGGGCAGGGGGAGAAGAAGGTTTTCCTTAACTGAACATCGCCGAACGTATCGAGAGACCTACCGTTGTTTCGTCCGACGTGGAGAACTTTACACATACTTTTATTAAACCTCATGAGCCATTTCTTGCTCAACACGTACAAAATACTTAAATATCGCTCGGCTCGAGCCCTATCCGCCTCCTCCCTTATGGCAAAACTATCTTGGTGTCGTCGGCAAATTTACTTATCTTACCCACTTCAAAATCCAAATCGTTTATGTAGATCAAAAACAGAAGCGGTCCAAGGACCGAGCCTTGAGGGACACCACTTGCGACTCCGACCTCCTTTGACGCTTCCCCATTTATCATCAATCGTTGCTGTTGTCTTTCCAACCAGCTACTGATCCACTCGCTCGTCCTAACCTGGATCCCGTGCGCCTCCAGTTTAACCCGCAACCTCTTGTGAGGAACGGTATCGAAAGCTTTCCCGAAATCTAAGTAGACGATGTCCACAGGATCCCCCTTATCCCTCTCTCCCGTCGCCCAGTCGTAGAATTCGAGCAAATTGGTGAGACAATTTCGACGCCTCCTAAAGCCATGTTGAGAGTCCCGAATGAGCGCGTTTCCTTCGAGGAAATCAAAGAGATGGTCCCTAAATATGCTCTCCATGATCTTCCCTGGGATACTCGTGAGACTTACAGGCCTGTAATTTCCTGGATTACTCTTTTTGCCCTTCTTAAAGATCGGTACGACTTTTGCTAGTCTCCAGTCCTTAGGTACTTCCCCGCGCTGCGAAAAGCTGCTTTCGAATATGATTCTTAGCGGAACCGATATTTCTTTCGCGGTTTCATTAATGACTCGCAGGAATCCTATCGGGGCCGGTCGCCTTGTCCACCTTTAACTTCCCTATCATATTCACGATCGTCTCCTCGGTGATGGAGATATCCTCGATGCACGCCGAGGTCACCTCCTCCAAAGTTGGTGCCGAGTCGGATTCGACAATGAAAACGGAAGCGAAAAACTCGTTAAGTATACTAGCCATATCCTTATCACTTGCAATCAACTCCCTTTTTTCGTTCATTAGCGGCCCGATCGACTGTTGACACCTACCACTAGCTTACCGATGAAAAGCCTTTGGGTTCTTCTTAGCATCTCTAGCCAGCCGTTCCTCGACCTAACGACTCCTCCCCCCTTTCTGCCGAGCCTATCCTTCCGCAAGGTATTGTATCCTTCGATCTCGAATTCAATATGCGAAATGTGAGAACCTCCCCAAGTCTCTGTTATTCCGTTACATCGAAACCTTTGTCCAGTGCCCGCCCCCTGAGCTCGTCTATTTTATTACATTAGTTGCGTGCATTCGCGTAGAAACACTTGACTCTTCCCTGCCTTCCCTGCACACCAGTACGCGGCGGTCTGAAGCTGCTCGTCGTGGCTGTCCCTTGCTTGTGATCCCTTGCCAGCCCACATCTAAAACCCTTAAAAAAGGCTCATTTTGCTTTATGATAGCCAATCCGACTGCTACTGCTCCCTCTTTCGAAAAATGTACTCCATCCCTAGCCATCGGCCTTCTACAGTGACTCAAAACTTCCCTAGTGTCCAGAAACACTGCCCCCTCCGCGATACATAACTTCTTCAACCTGTCGTGAACCACTTCCGACCTGTACCACGTGATTCCTCCTTGTCTAATGTCTTTAATGATCCCTTCTTTAAGCATATCCTGGATATTTTCATTCAAAGCTTGGCGCCTACTTTGTGGCACTCTGTAGGGTCTTTGAGCTTGTGATCTCTTGTTTCAATGACATCTTTCACTAACGGAGTATTACCCAAAGCCTGACCAGGAAGCTGAAAAACATCAATGTAGTCATACAATGTGTCTATAAATTCCTGTCTGTTTGTTCGGTGAACTTCCGAAAGAGCAAAAAGGTTCGCAAAACTCTTCCTTATTCACCTTGGGAGGTGAAAGGAACTCTTTGCGTTGTCATTACTGAAACGGATCTGGGATCAGATATCGGATGATACATGGATGTCCTTCTTGACTGCAGATTACCAACACTTTGAATGTTTTCTTGAGTTCTTGCACTCTTGGGACGTCCACTTCCAGCAAGACACTTTCCATTACTGTGGTCACGAAGTTTCCGTAAAAAAGTTGCGACTGTTGTTTTTTTCCAATTCTGAGCAGGATAATCAGCAAGAATTTTGTTCAGTGAATAGAGTTTATCTTCCCGGAGCGCCTGGATCAGGCATTCATCATTTTCACTCAAAACAATTCGAAAAGGCTCTAGAATATTTAATAATAAATTTAAATAATGAATCTCAAATAATTAAGAAGAACTGCAGCCGGTCGTGAATAATCAGGATGCTGATAAAAAAAAAGGTCAAACTGCTGGTGCTGCACAAAGAACGCTCAGTCAAAATATGATCCGGTGGTCCTGCTTGCCCGCGGGCGGCTGGCTGGGGAAGGGATGGTGATGATGGTGAAACACAAAAATTAAAGGTGACGCATGAAATATGACCATAAATACACTCTGTCCCAAGAAAATGTGGACCCTTTTTCAATTTTTAGGCATTCGTAATTAGTTCAGGCTATAGCTGTGCGCTTTTGAGGACTGACGAAGACATCAAATGAGCACATGCATGCAAAGTTATAATAATATTCATTCACTAGTTCCTGAAATACAGGATTTTATTTAGAGCGTACTAGCAGTAAGGGACTGCGGCCAGCACTGTATGAGCGCATTATTCCAGATTCATTGTTGTGCTTCATACAGGATGACTGACATGATGTGCACGACCAAGGTAACTTCAATAATTTTCACTGTTTGACACTCTGATGATGTGCTCGAAATGCACCGTGCCAGTCAGTGAATTGTCACGTGACATTGATCGAAACCCAAACGCTGCACGGTTCGCATTCTCCTGCTACGTGGGGACGGTGTGTTTCCACTCTGGCTGGCTTTGCCCGCGGAACTGGTCTGACGCAACCTGGCTTAGAATAATTTGCTGCAGCTCCGAAATGAATCGATGGAATTTGAAACTACTTTTCAAGCATGTGCTCTGAACAAATGTGAAGCTCCATCTCCTCGGGGTTGAGGAAATCACTGAATCTCGATTTTTGGAGATGTGAATTTCGTTCCTGTATTTTTTATTCTACCCCCCTGGGTAGCCACACCTTGGAAATTTTCGGAGAAAGTGAACTACCAAATGCGAGATAGTGACCTGGAGGTGACAAAAAGTCTATTTTTTCCCTTCCAGTGTACCATTTCACAGTAAAATCATATTATATGGCATTAATTTGGGTTTAGCGTGATGGCTTCGATTCTGTCCCGCAGCGTTGCCGGATATAATATCGGAGATAACTCAGATTCTTCAACTTTGCAACCTTAGTATCGTTGTCTGGTTCTTCTCCTTTTTATATCGAAAACATTATTTTTTGAATTAATGGGATGAGCTGGGAATGAAAAGGAGGTTTCCAGTGGCTGATGGATTTGATGGAATACTATTTCATCCGGAAATCCCTAAATAACATTATTGCACATATCCCTAATAATGGCATGGGTACTAAATCATTTTCTCCTCGGAACGAGTCGAGACGGATCAAGGAACCCTGGATAGGCCTAATGTTCCCCGACCGCACTGAAATTGATCATGAAATTCGAAAATATATCCATTCGGTCAAACCTCAAACGCTCTTTGTGAATTGAACTGTGAGAGACTGCATAGGCCTACGATTGACCTAACGTTAGAGCTCCTCTACGAGGTGTCTCGAAGACAAGAGATTAATCCTCATAGACTTAATTGGTCCGTGGGTCGAGGATTGAGTTTCTTTTCATGGAAAAAGGGTTGTCTTAGGCTTGAGCCGAAGACTGAACGTCATTTAGGCCTAAGCCTAATATTAGAGAAATTCGTAGAGGAGGGGGGGAGAGAGGTTAGGCTAGGTTCAGGTAAAAGAAAGGTAAAGTCTTCAAAAATTGGTTTTCACATTCCTAAATTTAAAAAAAATTGAACTGAGTTTCTTTAAATTTGGTTCCTCTGCGTATATGCCGATTTTCGTCTGAACCCGATATAGTCAAGCTGACGATCAGGTCTATTGGCTTTGGAATGACCTAATATTTTTCTTGCAGAGGGAGCAATAGAGATATTTTCAAATCATAACTAGCAAAGCATAACTCTTGTCTCTTTCAGGTATTGGATACAATACGACGGTATTTCTGGACTACAACAATATTGAAGTAATGGCTGAAGAGAGCTTCCGCCCCGTCCTTGAGATTCTCTCGCTACGTGATGGGTTCCTCTCCCTCACTGGTGAGCTCCTTGGTTTCTTGCCTCTTGTTCGATCAGCTAAGTCCTTACCTGCTTGTATCTCTTATTCCATTACTGTCCTCATGTTTCAGCCAATCCTATAATGTGCGATTGTACATTAGCTTGGCTTGATGAGAAGCTACTGAGGAGCATTCATGGGATGTGTCGAAATGGAACAGAATTTATTGACCTAGATTCGAGTTCATTGAGAGCCTGTCATCGTTGCCCTTACAGCTGTATCAGTAACGCATTGTTGTCCCACTGCAAGCCAGGGACAGTGATTGTTTCGAAAGTCGACAACTGTCGACCCGAGGAGATATGTTGCCAGCCTGGCTTATCAACAAGCCCTACAACGACACATACAAGCCTGTCGGATATCCAGTGTCCCGAAGGTTTTTCTTGCAGAGATGAGCAATTTCTGGCCACATCCAATCAGTGTAATGAAAAACTACCATATACTTGTCCTCAGGCAACAAAAACCTGCTGTCGGATCACTCCAGATGATGAAAAGAAACGATCATGTCCAACTACTCATTCCTGTCTAACGGCAGAATCTCTCTGCAGACCGGAAACGAAAATTTCGAACACATCTTGTGGTGACAATGAAGTCTGCTGCATAATACAAATTTCCTCACGGTCATCTGCACCACCTTGTAATAACACGTGTGTATTATGGGCCAATATCGCGTCATGTGTGCCAAAGACTGCTGAAGATGGAACGGTATGCCGAGAAACAGGAGAATATTGCTGCGAGTTAAAGCGCGAATCGGTTGAAGCAACGACAAGGCCAGCAATCACAAGAACAACCTCAAGGACAATAAATCTCTTATGCACTGCCATTAATGGGTATACTTGCTTAGAAAAAAAGTATGAGGACCGTTGTTATGAAGGGACTGTCATTGACCGCGTTTGTCCTTCAGACACTCAAATACTAGTATGTTGCCATGTACATTTTGACGGCCCTGAGGAACATGTGCACGATCACATTGCGAAAGCGGCGTGCCCACAAACCCATGCCTGCCTTGAACCTAGTCTTAATTATCTGTGCCAATATGGAACTGAAATCCAGCAGACATCGTGCCACGGAAATCGTATCTGCTGTATCATCGAAACTTCTTCCACGATAGCTCCTCCTTTGTCACATTGCAGAGAAAAGTGCGTGAGCAAAGCTGAGATCGATTCGTGTGTTCCTGGAACTACCAACGATGGAACAAAGTGCAGGGAACAAGGAAAAACTTGCTGCAGGCCAAAGACATCGTCCATAGTCGCACCAAGATGCGAAACCTACAATGGTCGTTGCATGGCGCCATATCTGTCATCTAGATGCAATGCTGGTGGGGAAAAGGATTTCACAGACCTATTCCAATGCCCACAGAATATGCTTTGTTGCGTCTTGAAGACGGAAATTGAGAAGAGGGAGCACGAAGTGGAAGCGTATGATGGTATGTATGTATTTCCGATACGATTTCAGAACCCAAATGTGTTGCTCCATTAGACGGAGCAAAACATGTGAGGTTGGAAGGAGACATATGTTGAATTGAGGCGCCAGTCGTTCTGGCTCGTCATCAATCATCTTTTTCCGCATAGTTGAAGTGTTTGTGTATTTTCGTATTTCAGGAGTAATTTATATAATTTTCTATTAATTTAGGGGTGGTTTCATTTCAAATCAGGCTGTTCCATAGTATTCCTGTCAGGTCACTATATTCCATTTTTCCATTAAAAAAATGTATGTGGCCCTTCAATCCAAGTGATGAAATATGGTAGTCATTCACCTTTGTATCTGCGATAGTGTAGGATGTGAACATCACATATTTAAATTCATCACCACATGACAATATTATTTATCATGCAGCAAAAATACGACTTAAAATTAATAATGATTCTGACCTTTGTTAATCCCAACATAGTCCGAAATTGTCCATCTTTAAAAATAAAAAACGATGTACTGAGGAAAAAGGAGCAGGAAATTGTTATACTATGCAATAACCCATGCCATCAAGTGACATTGTGGGGGAAAAATCAATGGTGGGATTTTGCAATTTACATTTGCACATACATTTTACATCACCCACTTTTGAGAAAATCACAAAATATTTCAAAAATATCAAATTATTTATGAATGATATACATGCCAAATGACACCAATACATACATGCATAGTCTTAGATTTAGTTCGTGAAAATATATTTCATCCAAGATGGGATACACATTTAATTGACGAAAAAAATGGTAAAAAACTTGCAAATTCAGCAGCACTGATTTTGAAAATTTAGAAATTTAGGGTGGCCCAGAAGAGGGCAGTTGGTGGTACAATCAGCAGTCACTACAATTTATTATTTAATAATTTATAATTTTATTATTTTATAATTTATAATTTTATTATTTTATAATTTATTATTTTATTATTTTATAATTTATTATTTTATTATTTTATAATTTATTTTTTTATAATTTATTATTTTATTATTTTATAATTTATTATTTTATTATTTTATAATTTATTATTTTATTATTTCATAATTTATTATTATTATTTTCATTATTAATTGAATTTTACTTTAATTTCGGAATCACTAAGAAGTCAGTTTTGCAATTAAAAATTGTTCTGTCTGCTGATTGTACCACTAACTGCCGTATCACTTGTGTTCCGCCCTGTACATATTAACATAATAACCGGTATGGTTTCCATACAGTGTGCGTATAGAGTTCGTACTTTCAAGTAGGTGATGAATTATTTTCAGAAATGTATGCACTGTAGGAGATAAAGAAAATTGAAAGTGATGGAAAACCGCGACTTAGCGTGTGGATATTTTTTGGAGCCCTCCACTTATGAGTTTTTCTTCTCAGAAAGTTAATTTTATGTAGATATATAGGTAAATAAGCACTTGGAAGGACCACATATCTATTTAAAAAAAAGGAAGATCATGACCTAACACAAATACTATGGACCTCCCTGATTTGAAATGGAACCACCCCTAAATTTACAGGCTATCAAATCAATTATCCATGAAATGCTATTACGCACAAAAGCCTCAGCAACTGTGAGAAGGAATATAATTGATGATGAGACAAAACGTGTGGCGTTCCAATTCAACATAGGGTAAAGGCCCCAGTTTGAGGGCAGTTTTGCGTTTTTTGCCGTTTCACAAAATTCACGCGAAAATTTATTTCCTTAAATGCTCCATATTTTGCACGTCCCTGTCAGTCACCAAATAAATTATGCATACCCATCAGCTCGAGTGAAATTAGACATTTCGCGGAGTTTTGGACTTAGCACCCCTAAATTCCTTAATTTTTAGTTATATTTTTCGAACAGGACATCATTAAAGATGAATACAACTGATGTACGTATCTCATACCCATAATTTTATATTCCGCTTGCGCACATTCATAATTGTTGACAAAAACTGGTGTCCACGACCTAGGTCCGTAGATGTCCACAAACTGGAACAAGGCTGTCCACAAATAGGAACCACGTGAAAATAAACACGTATACATTTAAGCAACCATTATTGGAAAATTATATTTTTAATATTTTATTTTAGAGTATCGGCAACAGACTATAATACGAGGGTCACTCAATAAGTTATCTACCTGAATAAGAAAGAAACATCCGAGGGGAAAAATAACACTTTATTTTTTAATGTAGTCACCTTTTAACTCAACACACTTATTCCACTTTGATTCCAAGGATTTTATTCTCTGGGAATAGAAGTCAACTTCTTGTCCATCAAGCCAAACAGAAACGGCGACTTTCAGCTCTTCATTGCATGAAAATCTTTTTCTCCGCAAAAATTTTTTCAATTGTCTGAACAGAAAATAGTCACTAGGAGCCAGATCCGGGCTGTAGGGAGGATGGTTGAGCCACACTCCCTCACTGCTGCCTGAACTTTCCATGATTTGTGATGTTCCATTTGAACTTTCTCAGGTCTATCTATACTATCGATACATGATTTCATTCGTATCATCCAGAAAATCAATAAAATCTACTTAATTACGCCCTATGATATTACGGGAATTTCAAGAAGAGTACGAAGTCAAGGCGCTTGGAGAGACCAAGTTGAAAGTTCTCCGTATTACTCGAAATCAACCCAGTCTATTTCGTTGCGATGGAAATCCAATCCAAAAGTTGCCATATTTTTGACCGAAGGGAATTGATGCCAAATGGTACCTATTCCCTTCGGTACAGAGCATTGTTGTGCACATGCTCCAGACCAAAAGGAGTCAGTGCCATTTGACATTTATTCCCTTTGTCGAAGAAGCTAAGTTCATCAACCTCGCTTCACATTAGCCAAATAATCATTTTGAAACTATTCTTCATGGAATAGCTCCACTATTACCCCATTCTACACATTTGCATATATTTTTCATTTTAATGGCCAATGGAGACTTCATGTAGGTTTTTTTTTGGCAGAAACCGCCTGTAAAAGGATATCATTGGGTATAAATATGGAGATGGCATGAAACCGCAAGACTTGTGGTTTCCCGTTATGAATTTTTCTCCATGCACGATAGGCTGGATAAATGCATACCATGCTCTACCTCAATTGTCGGCATGCCTGAAGAAGAAAACAATTGATGAGGTCGAATATTTTCTTTTCATCGAACAGGAGGAAGGCTTCAGCATCTTAGTTAAACTCCCCTTTTCCATTGAGGAAACCTGAAAAATCCATGCCATAAAGCACATAAATATGCAATGAGGGCCAAATGAGCTTAAATATAGGAATGTGGCTGATTGAACAATTCAAACCTTAATTATAACTTTTTCTGGTTGTGATCCTGGTTAGTTCCCTTTTCATTTTCTTTTGTAAGAGATGGCATGACGGTATAGGGTAAAAGACCCAGTGATGGACCTGTTAAGGGCAGGTACTCAGTGATGGGCCACGTCGCAGGAAAATTCCAAAAACGAAGTAGTTGTTCCATAACCACCTTTGAAGCGTGTGTGTGCTTGAATGCTGCTAGCCTATGTCACACCAGGGGTAGGCGAGCTATGGAAGCTTAGCTATTGGAATTTTTATGTGCTGTGGCCCATCAATGGAGACCGGTCCATCACTGGGTCTTTTACCCTATTAATCCAAATGCAACTTTCCTTTTCTAGAATGCGGGGAAAGAGTGATACGGATGACGCGCTCAGCTGGCGGAAGGCCTGCGGCCATTGGAAAGTGGCCTTGGCAGGCAGCTATTTATGACATCGAAAAGAAACTTATAGTCTGTGGCGCGGCTCTCATTCACAAGAGATGGGTCCTTACTGCGGCTCATTGTATCACCCAAGATGGAACGGCGAAACCCCGCAACAGGGATGTCTTTCTGATCTATCTTGGGAAACACTATCGAGAAATCGGTGAGGCATGAAGTATTCTGTACGTATATGTGAAGTAGACTTTTTGTTTCATGGAGTTACCCAAATGATTCATGGTAGGTGGCTGGTTGGGGTTCCGACGGCACAGATGCATTCCCGGACGAATTGGTGGAAGTGGAACTCCCAATTATATCCTATAATGAATGTCGTAAAGACACTATCCACTTCACAGGGGACTCCAGCGTCACTCGCACCCTCACTACGAACTTGTATTGTGCCGGGTATGACAGAAACACACCCCTTTCAGGTACTGTTTCAACCATCAATGAAAGCGTAAACTACCTGATTTATTGAAAACTTGATTGTAACTAGAGTCTGCAGGGAGTCGCCGCCGTAACGGCGCCGTTTCTCAGTAGACACAGGGTTCAGTATGAATATACAATGTAAATAGATAGGCATTTTAATAATAACATTTATGCTTCCAAAATATATGGTCTAGAGAGTCTTCAAGAGTGCCGAAACGAGTATATAGGGTGCGCGAGTAGAATTGGCGTGGAAAATACATTAAGGAAAAACATCTCTAAAATTTCTCATTTTAAACATTTATTGAAAATTCCAGAAACAAGATCAAGGTAGGCCTTACGGGAACTCCATATTCAGATTTCATGCACGATATCAAATATGGCCATACAGGGGTGCTTTGTTCTGAATGTACATGATACAAATAAAAATTATACATGGGAAACTGTATTTGGAAGCCGTCCAGTTCATATAATGTTTTGGCCATTCTTAATGAATATGGAGCTATACATAGTTCATATACATGTGTATAAGCCACAAATATGGTGCTTAGTTGCAATGTATATGGCACATGTAATAATTTGGTATGTTTTGGCTATATTTAATATGTTGGATAAATGTATCTACATATTATCATATACAGGTCCCTCGTACGGTTATTAATTTGCAATATACAGTACATGGCCTCCGCATGCATTATTAATGGCAGATTTAGGCAGAGGCTCAGATGCAGAGTCACTCAACATCGAAACTTACATCTGACTTTTTGTGTCTCACTTCACAAGGGGAACCTCACTCCCTCTATGCATTGGGCAAGAATTACCTGGAGCCTCCTCAAGCTAGGTTACGTTTTTCAATATATGCATAGATTAAAACGACTTCATTCCTTCGGTTTGTATTAATACGTGGGAAATTAGCGAGTTGAGGGTGAAAGCTTCTGCGGAACCATTTATTAGCATTTGGGGAATTGAGAAACATTTAGCGGCGGGATGAGCGCGACCTCGCTTATATTGTGAGAACTTTATATTTATTGAACAAACAGCTTGATGTCAGGCCATATGGAAGGCCTCAATGTGCATCCGTGGATATTACATGAACTGAACAGTTTCCAAATATATTCTAAATACAGTATTTTTTCCGTGTAGTTTATATTAGTGTCATATACATTGGAAACCTAGCACCATATATGGGGGTCTGAATATGAACCATATATCGTTCCATATTTATAAAGAATGGCCAAAACATGATGAGGACTGAACTGTTTCCAAACATGGCTAAATTCAGTTCTGTACCATCCCATACATACGCCTGTATTTGGAAGTTCCGTAAGGGAGTGCTTCATAGATGGAACTTATTCAATAAAGCCACCTTTAGCATCAATCACAGCCTCTAGACGACCTCGGAAGCGAGAACAGGCGCGTTTTACAATCTCAGGAGACAAATCTTGAAATGCCTGCAGATTCTCTCCCTCAGCTCAGCTTTATTGTTACAGGCAGTCTTATTAGTGATCCTTTCAACCGCGTCCCACACATAATAGTCAAGAGGATTGCAGTCAGGGGAGTTTGTTGGCCACATATCAAGAGTAACATGGTCAAAAAAGTTATCCTCGAGCCACTTCTGAGTTTTCCTGGCCGTGTGTGCTGGTGCAGAATCTTGCTGGAACACGTATGGTCTTCCTGCGGCAACTTCTTCACCTTCCTTCTCCACTCCTCAGGCCACTCATAATCATCCAATCTGTTTGAGGTCTGCATTCTTTGAAGTCTTACTGATAACTGAGAATCTTGAATCAATAACATTGGTCAAGAAAATCTTGTATTATCTGGATTTTACCTGTTTAAACTCGCGCCAATTCTACTCGCGCACCCTGTATTTCCAAAAGATCCTTCAAATCGCTTGCTCCCAGTTGAGAACATGAGCAATGATTGAAAATTGGCTGTGGAATGGGACTGGGGGAATGGGGAATACTGTTTCAATCAGCACAGGGAGCGTAACCTATCTGTTTTATTGGAAACTTTGTTGCAATTATAGCCTGCAGGGAATCCCCGCCATGACAATGCCTTTTTCCGGCATACACTGGGTTCAGTATAAATAAATAGGCTATATAATCATTATATTTACATTCCCACAAGATCTAGTCTAGTGAATCTTACAGTGTCGAGAAGGTTGTTTCCAAAAGATCCTTCAAATCTCTTGCTCCCGGTCAATATCATGAACAATTGAAAATTACTTGTGCAATGGGAATTGGAAAGACCTAACGCTGGCACAAAACTGGCGTGAGAAGGGCACAACCTAAACCTCAATATTGAGGTGAGCTGTTATTCCTCGTCGCACAAAACTCAATCACTTCCTTTAAAGGCGAACACAAAAAATACAAGAGTACACTTCTTTGTAAACACGCTAATTTAAGAACATACATTTCAAGGAAGTTCTCACGATTAGGATGCTGCACAATTGGCTTTTTTTGAGGGGGGGGGTGAATGGAGTATCCTAAAAACGTCTTGTCAAAAAAGTATTATTCCAGTTGTGTTATAAAAGGTATTGTGTGAAGGAAATTTTCCATAGGATTCACGACTGCCGATTAGGAGCGGCAGGAAAACTATTTTTCCCTTTGATGAAAAGAACTGCGATGTATTGATGCACGGCCTGCCTCACTCAAGGCATCCAGGAGGCTAGCGGCCTGGATCGAACGAACTAAAAGGAACTTATTCCTAATCATCCTTTTGAGGATATTTGTATTTGTGTAGGAATAGAGAGGCACGCAAGTGAGTCGCCATCTTATTGAGTGCAATGGAACATTTTATGCCTCCAAAATGATTCGATGAAGGACTGCGTGAAGAGATATTACGCTTTCTCGTAGGAAGCGACCAAAACTTCCCGGTTTAATGAGGGGGAAGGCAGAAAAAGAAAAAAAATCCGATCATCTAACATTTTCGACCCTGGTGATTTGAGTGTGCTATGGGCGTAGCAAGTCATATATTGACTCTCGGGCTCGAAGTGTTAAGCTCCTCAGACCCAGCGTGCACCCAGACTCCGTATTGAGGACATTTAACCCATTTGCAACATGTGACTTTTCTGCCAATCAGACTTGCAATTCTGCAACCATAAACTGATGTGCGTGGCCTACAAGTCCCTGCCTTTCTAGACCATGACTTAGGCGGAAGAACACAAGACGATGCGTACCAGTAAGTATTCTGATGCAGATGTGTTTAACAAGGCTATTGTGGAGGTTACAAGTTCGGAGGAGATGAACGAAATGTTCCAAAAGGTAGCAAGGCGTCTTTGAGCAATAGACGAGCTCAATGAATTATTGAATGATGTAAAAACGTCTCACTGACAGGCCAGCTCCTTTACATGTAACCTCCCTTACGAAAAGATCCTGTAGGATTCGATGAGATGTTTATGTTTCAAAAGTATCATAGGATAATATAGGATCTTTTCGTAAGGGCTCACTCCCACAGAGCATACTCAAAGGTTTCTGGATTCTCACTGGGATTGTTGAGGTCATTGTGAGAATATGGAAAAGTGAAACCATATTTTCCCATATTAGGGCAGATTTATCCACGTTAGACAGTTAGCTATTACTTACTAATAATTTACCTAAATATTAACCAAACAATTTCTTCAACAACGATATGACTTACTAGCGAGTTTGTTTGGCGAAGGGCAAACAAGCTCGCTATGGTCGCCCCTTCGGCGCTCCATTACCTTGGATTCATTTAATCTTTGCGAAATTACAAACACGTATTTAAAGTACGTCCCCTTTAAAATACGTGACATATGGGGACGAAAGTCTTAATTTTTATCAAAATCATTACTTCTTTTATTTCTGGCGTGCCTAACTTGAAATCATTTCATGTGTTCATTATTGTAAGTGTGGGGAATACGTTTTGAAATACTTTCCTCCTATAATCTACTCTAAGGGGGCATATTTCAAAAGTAGCATTTTTCCTGTACTCAGCCATCAAATAGGTACTTCTGAGGGAATTTAAATTCTGTCTCCGTTTCGTTGGATCAAAAAAAAATTAAGGTAAATATAGACTCAGGGATCTCCATGTCACCCAGTTTCAGCCTTATACGTTTCCCCTTTTTACTTGCGGTATAATGATGTATTTGGAAAATCGACCCACCCAAAGGCTGTGCTTTGAGGAGATGCACAACGAATGTTGAATTTTTCTTTAAATCAACATTTCGTCCGTTATGCGTTTGCCAGCTTCTACTTTTTCATTTCTGCCCGATTCGCTCGGATATGAGAGATTATTGGAAAAATTAAAGTCCCCAATAAATATCCCCGCCACCCATTGCAATACTTTGGAAATATGACATTTTTCCTGAGCTCAGTGCGTCAGTAGTCACGTTCTTACCAAGTTTCAGCTATCCATGTGTCTCCATTTGATTGAAGCAATGAGAAATATTTGAAAATATGTTCACCGAAACGGTGTGCCCCTATGGCATGTATCATAAAAGTATATATTTTCCTGGACTCAGCATGCGAATTGCGACTTATGTCAGTTGGCTACTCACGATCGTCTATATATAATAAAAGTAGATTTTTTTCTTATTTCAGCTATCCATCAGGTTCATATTTGGCAAGTTTAAACATTATAGCGCCCTTTGCTTTTCTGGATCGAGAAAAACGCCTTTTGCAATATATGAGCCCTGGGACATTTATATGAAAAGTTCCTTTTTTTTTACCGATATCACTTCTCAGAGATCTACACTACACCACTGAATCCGTGACATCCTATCATACCTCTCGATGCCATCCTAATCCGTCACAATATACTAGGTGGGCCAAAAGTTTTTGCCCCTGTATTAATATGTGAATATCTCCTTAACGGTTTGTGCTACAGAGTCGAAAAAAAAACTAAAAGAAAGTTAATTTCATCCTCTTTCTGAAAATGTATGGTTTTCCGTTCCTACATTCATTTGGAGATGAGTCATGGCCGTTTGAAAAAAAAATACCGAAAAAAATGTTGCCAAAACGAACCTATACCGTGCCGCCCACGGAAATCATCCTCAGCAGCTGGCTTCAAGTTCGCGCGCCGTCGTTTATTTCCTTCCTAATTGCTTCCTACCTTCTTTCCCTTCTTCATAATGTGAAGGATGAAAATTTGAAGACTTTGATGCTTGATTTGGATAACCGACCAGCAGAAGATCGCGAAAAAAATGTAACGGCCTCCGGTGGTCTACTCCGCGCGTTGTGCTGAGTGCTCGTCTTTGTAGTGTTAATTTTTTTGAATTTACCTTTTTTTTACCTCTTATTCAGAAACCTTTACAGGGAAAATGAGTACAAACCGTGTTCTAATTGAGAGTGATTGAGTTTTCAAGCGGTCGCTTCGTGAAGAAAATGGATTTACCTTGAATATCTTGCGTGAATATCCCGATCGAAAATGGGGAAAAATCGACTGTGCGTTTTACTGTATAACGCACAGTCGTTTTTCCCCCATTTTTCGCAAGATACTGACAGTATCTTGCGAAAACTGCGTGAAATTGGCAGTGCTGAACGTCTTCCAGTCACTGGCTGTCCCAGAAGAGCAAGAACGCCAGAAAACAGACGCTGTGACCAATTTTCCCTGTAAGGGTTTCTGTGTAAGAGTTTAAAAAATTAAAAGAGTTAAAAAAAATCGCAAAAACATTAACACTGCAAAAACGAGCACTCAGCACAACGCGCGGAGTAGACCACCGGAAGCCGTTTAATTTTTGTCGCGATCTCCTGCTGGTCGGTTATCCATATCAAGCATCAAAGTCTTCAAATTTTTATCCTTCACATTATGAAGAAGGGAAAGAAGGTGGGGAGCAATTAGGAAGAAAATAAACGACGGTGCGCTCGACCTTGAAGGCAGCTGCTGAGGATGCTTTCCGTCGGCGGCACGGTATAGATTCGTTTTGGCAACTTTTTCTTCGGTATGTTTTTTTCTAACGACCATGACTCATCTCCAAATGAAAGTCGGAACTTAAAACCATACATTTGCAGAAAGAGGATGAAATGAACTTTCTTTTAGTTTTTTTTCGACTCTGTAGCCCAAATCGTTCAGGAGATATTCACATTTGTATACAGGGGCAAACACTTTTGGCCCACCCTGTATATATTTAAAAATTTCTCCCCTCAAAATGTGTACCCCCAGGGTATGTACCTCCAAAGTCGGATTTTTTCTGAACTCTGTATCCCAAAGGTAAATGTGTACCAAGTTTCAGATTTCTAACCTTTCTAGAACATGGTTAGAATTAACCTCAGTCAGTCAGTCAATCAGTCACGATCGTCTATACTGTATACTGTATATTAGATGATCTTTTTCACTTCGTAAAAATATAGTCCAATCCTGAACGCAAAACCATTCGATATTATAGTACCCTCTATTTTGCTGGTGAATCAGGGCCTCGAAGCCTCTGTAGTCACTTCATAGCATAGCTTCATTATTCTATTGATTCAATCTTTAGCATGATTTAGATCGAACTTGGATGCGCAAAAATCGTCACAGAACTGCTGTGATCTCCACTGGAATTTCCACATCCACAGATATGTGGAAATTCCACACATTCCACATAGGTTACTAGACATATCGACAAAATTGATATCAATCTTGTGTCCAGATTACCAAACAGTCTGCCAAGGAGACGCTGGGAGTCCCATGGTTATACAAGATAAAGAACACGAGGGACGCTGGACCGTAGAAGGGATCGTGAGTCACTTTTTCAACAAAGGAGTATCATGCTCCATGAGGGGTCCTGGCCAGTACGTCATCTTCACCAAAATCAATCGGTATGACCCGGATTTAAGTCACTATTTTTTTTGCCGTGCTTCCCGATTCCCTCATGAGACATTATCAAACCGAAATTTGTTCATTTTCCCCGCATCAGATTCATTCACTGGATAGAAGATAAAATCGAATGGACGCATTGAAGACCCCAGAAGATTCGATCACGTCCGTCATCATCCTCGCATCAGATTCATGCATTGGATAAAATGGAAAATAGAAAATATGTATTGAAGACACCAGAAGTCCTTGACCATCATCCTCGCTCAAAATCCAGACAGAAGCCTCCAGGTTCATCCTCTGGCCTCGACTTACCTGTCAAATAGTTTTCACGTGGCAGGAGTAGGAACTCTAAGGAAGAATGGAATAAAGATATTGTTAAGGCATCTTCCAACGACCCTACCGAATCCAGGACATATTTTGTGCAAATATCACTCCTCTTGTGAGTTTCGTTGTTCATTCCTTGTTGCTTCTCATTGAAAGAATTCCTTGGAATATATTGTGGTTAAAGAAAAGCGCTCTACTGTTTTATATGGGAGAAACCCAGTTTCACAAATACAGCAAAAAAGATTAGCCTGGATACGCGATCGATATCTGACAGTTACTTTCCAGCTCTTTTCAGCGCCCCTGTCTAAGTCGTGCAATTAGAGGTGAATTGAATGGGCTTATCTTTGGATCATTGCACATCAAATGAGGTGATGACCTGTTCTCGACCGTCTCAGAATTCAATGATCTTTCAATTTTAATTTTCCAAGATCAGTTGGACCCTGCTGATACCTGACAGAGAGGTATATATCCGGATAGAGGACGCTGTTGTTGACCGGGCAACCAAGGGTGATTAAAAAATGGTGTAATGCTCTACCTGTAAACTATATAACGGGACACTACACAAGTCAGAAAATGGTTCAGGAAAAAAATTCAATATGTTCAACATCTCCTATATGTCCAATATTAAGAGTTTACGAATCACTTTTTTTTACTTGAATACCGGAATCATACTTTCTCCTCTTTGAAGACGGTGGAGCTTCCGTCACCCTCGGTCACCCGGTCAACAATAGCTTCCTCTATCGGGATATATACCTCTCTGTCAGGTATCAACAGGATCCAACTGATATTGGAAAATTAAAGTTGAAAGATCATTGAATTCTGGGACTGTCGAGCATAGGTCATCACCTCACTTGAGGTGGAAGAATCTATATTTAAGGTACTACGGGAACGACCACTTGGATCGAAATTCCGCCTTATAATTGTTGTAAGGGACCTCGAAAAAGGGCCTTGGAGCCGATTGCTAGCTCTCTCGGGTCACCCCCCGGGGCCATGATCTGTGGTCAAAAGTCAAAATCAGCATGCTTCTCTTTGAAAATCTCCATCTCCCCAACCCTTGGTCGCAGAAACGTGAAATTTGCACCATTCTCCCTGCGACCTAAAGCGCTAAATGGAAAAAATAAATACACTTATGCAACTGTCGTTCCCGAGACGCCATGACGCCATAACTGAGAATTTTTCTATTTTCGGATTCTGTTTTTTCGTTCTCATTTTTCGTAGAAATTTTCTATCGGCAAAAGCATGCTCCAGTTTTTGGAGGATATTATAGTCCATCTTTTTGTGGAGTTGCGCATGTATTCCTCCTACCGTTCCCCCTCAGCGTTCAATGATCCGCCAGAAAAATCCACATTTTTGGAAGGGACGTGACGTTGACGGACGATACCCGAAAACGAGGCTGAATTTCAAAAATTCCTCTTCTAGATCTCTTTAAAAGTCTCTGAGGTAGCTTAATATATATTTTAATGAGAATCCGTCCCCTATCCTAGAAGCCTATCGATTTTTCCTGCTGCCTCTTTTGACGAGCTAGGTCATTTCTACTATTCCGGGTCGATTTTCCGCCTGCACAAGGATTGATACCGAAAATACACGAGTCAAATAAATAAATCAATCCCCTTAGTATCCCATAGGAAGAGCAGCGGCTCTCCTTTCCGCTGAAAAATTAGTGGCAGGTGCCAGTGTGACCGGCGAAAAGAGGAAAGAGACAGGCGAGGGGGAAGTGCGTGAGGGCGAAACGGTCTCAGAGCATCCGAAAGAGCATGGGAGAGTGAAGCGGGAGGGAAGTCAAAGAGGGAAGAGCTGCGCACGAGCATTCAAGTTTTCATGCAAATCGGTAATTAAAGCCTCGCATTCTCTATCCCTTTCGAGACAGTAAGCAATCTTGGTATCATTGTATCCGTGAAACATCCCTCTATTGGATAGGCACAAAAAATCCTGCATTCTTGGCCGGTGAGAAGAGAAAATCGACCCGGATAGAAGAAATGACCTAACTCGTCAAAAGAGACAGCAGGAAAATTTGGTAGGCTTCTAGGATAGTGGACGGATTCTCATTAAAATTTATTATAAGCTAGCTAAGAGACTTTTAAAGAGATCTGCAAGAGGCATTTTTGAAATTCAGCCTCGTTTTCGAGCATCGTCCGTCAACGTCACGTCCCTTCCAAAAATGTGGATTTTTCAGGCGGATCATCGAACGCTGAGGGGGAACGGTAGGAGGAAACCATGCACAACTCCGCAAAATGATGAACCATATTAGCCTCCAAAAACTGGAGCATGCTTTTGCCGATAGAAAATGTTTACGAGGAATGATAGCGAAAAAAAGCAGAATCCGATAACAGAAAAATTATCAGTCATGGCGCCATGGCGTCTCGGGAACGACAGTTGCATAAGTGTATTTATTTTTTCCATTTAGCGCTGTATGTCTCAAGGAGAATGGTGCAAATTTCTCGTTTCTGCGACCAAGGGTTGGGGGAGATGGAGATTTTCAAAGAGAAGCATGCTGATTTTGACCTTTGACCACAGATCATGGCCCCGGGGGTGTCCCGAGAGAGCCAGCAATCGGCTCCAAGGCCCTTTTTCGAGGTCCCTTACAACAATTATAGGGCGGAATTTCGATCCAGGTGGTCGATTTTTGTGTTCCCGTGGTACCTTGAGCGCATTCAATTCACCTCTAAATGTTCATTGCTCGACTTAGGCAGAGGTGCTGAAAAATGCTTGCAAGCATTTCAACACCTTGTAACTGTCAGATATCAATCGCGCATGACGTATAATTGTTTGCTGCATTTTTGAAACTGGGTGCCTCCCATAGAAAACGATAAAGTTTTCTTTTTAACCACTCTATTCATGGGGGAATGTTGGAAAATAAGGTTAACCTTTTCCACTCGAATGGGCGAGTCGAGTATACTCGCCCATTGGTACATTGACTCTTGCAAAAATTCGAGCGTAAAAGGTTAATCAATTTTTTTCTCGCCGTCTGTATTGCAAGCGTCAAAAATTGTATTCACAGATGAAAACACATGTACTTTTATATTTTCTCCTGCAAAGGCTTAGATGAGAATTCACTGTGGGCAGCAGGAGAAGTAATCCAGTTTGGCCTATCGGAATCATATAGGATTCAATGAGAAACTTACAGGATTCCTCGAAGAATCTTATAGGAATCGTATTCACTTTTTATGTTCTAAAGCCTAGTATGATCCTATAGGAACTTCCTGTGAGGGTAATATTGAGATGTTGTTAATAAACAATTTCGTCGCATTTACAATTTGACCTTGAAAATAGAGGTTTCTCATTACAATATATACAAGTGGCGCCTTCCTTCAAAGTTGGCCTATGACGTTAGGCCCTATGAGTATGTGCAGAAGATTGGCCTTAAATCGCCTAGCACCAAGATTGTCTTCATCACGAACCTGTGTATCAGCACTCCACAAGTTGACGGAGTATCTATACAGTCAAAATTATTGTTTTCATCTGTCAATATATGTTCCAGACAAAATAGCCTTGATACTGCATTCATACCGATTGTTTAGGACAGAGTGGATATACGAAATCACTGAATTGAATCTATAGACCCCATTCACGTGAACACATGGAGTCACAGGTACCTCCTAGATCGCTTCAGCCATTTCAACCTTCCCAACAGTCAAAATAAAGTCAGAAAAATATGGATCATCTTTGGGGCTGTTGTATATTGGTTGACTGCACTTTAGATCATAGCGGGGAGGAATATTCAAGCACAAATGTAAAAGCCCGTACGTTCGCGGGCTGAAATAAGTAGAAACACAACATTTCGTGAATTACTTTTTGCTATTTCTTCGTCAGTCTCACTGTTCCTCGTCTGAACGTCGTCATGCACTTTTATCCATTGACTGTCTCCAGAAGTTCTCTTTTCTCGCATGTTCGGTAGATCCTGCCGTTGAATAGTTTAACCCATCTCCGGTTTTTTTTCTCTTCGGAATTTTTGACGAACGCGCATAGCTTTGAGAAAATTGCCTGGTATTCTTTGCTCGTTCATTTACTTTAAAATATTTTGGCTTGAATCGAAGTTGGAGAGAGCAGAGTATATTTTCCTATAAAATGTACGCATCTCGCTCATGAATCTAACGGTACAGAAGCCGCTTTCTTGGCCGATGTTTGAAGAAAGAAAACGTGGGAATCTGTTTTAATAGCATATTCCTGGGTTTTAAAGGTGGAGGGGCAGGTCTTTCGTGCATTTATGTGTAGGGGGATCTGAGTCATTTGTTATTGAGTCAATAGGAAAATTATAAGAAATTTGGCCGGACTGGATGAGTGGGAAACACATGAAAAATGCCAAGCGCGCCCTAAATAGAGACCTCCACGGACCCCCCTTCAAATCTCTGTCGACAAGAAAGGCTTTGATTACTTCTATGACTCGTAACAGGAGACGCAGTGCAGTGGAGGGTTCTTCATGGAAGAGCCAATCACGTGAAGGTATTCCGTACGGCTAAAATGTTTCCCAATTTCTTATGTTTTCTACATCATGTCATTCCTTTATTTTGTAACGCAGACAGTTGAAACTTCAAAACCATGTTACTACACTTTCTAGCTCTGCACGTGTGACATATGAAGCTCATTCTACATTTCATTCCGGAGAATTGAGCCATTATGTCATCCGACATTTTTGTCTGATTTCTCTGTGGCAAACCGGTTAAGGGTTAAACTTCCCAAATTTTCGGGCATTTTGAGAACGCTGGCATTTTAGTAAAATGATAAAAATGTTTTAGCACCACCTCAATGCTGCAAACTAACATGAAGTACTGTTTTAAACCGGCGACGGGACTGGTAACGCGACAAAGTATGTCATGATCATTGCCAGTAGGTACCAAAGGAAAAACTTCCCTTGCCGACAATGCATCATATTCTCATCTTTGGTTGTGAGCACTTCTCCCGGGAAGGCATTCAGTAAAAATGCTGTTATTATCACCGAAATTAACCCTGTCTCACTTAAGAAAAACCTTTTTTTTCTCTCGCCTCGCCTTGGGTGTTGGGGAAGGAGGGAAAAAAAAGGTTTTTCTTAACTGAGACATGGTTAACCCCTATGCCGTCAAAATGGTAGAACTTTTTACACTCTTGACCAAACAGTTATCGCCACCGGGTTTCGAATGACACCAACAATTTTAAACTAAGACACATCGAACAAATTTAGAACTCTCAGTACGAAGATGGAGGTCGGGAGGATGGTTCCCGCATGAAGAGACACCCCATTTCCCACTTGTAACAATATCCAGTGAGTGCCATCGCATAGCAATCTAAAGCGATACAACTTTTGAAGTTTTCATTGAAATCAATTTCAAAAAATTAATTTCAATCAATTATAAGGAGATGCCGTTGGTCTTTAGGGAAACCCCAATCGCCAGAAAGCAAATGTTCAACGAGTTCCGCTTCTTACCCTTAAAATGAGACCCGTCTTTCTAATTTAAGAACGCCCATGTAGAATAGGGGAAGATATTGAGCTTGACCCGAATGTGGATCGGCTCGATAGATCCGATCTGACTCGTGCATCGGGCGTGAAATGAGGTTGACAATCTAGTTTCCAGTGGGGTGCGAGAGAATGCATAATTTGAGGCCGCGGGTTCTGAAGCTCGAAGGACAAAACAGGTTTCGAACTGGTCAGTTCGGCAATCAAGTTTCAGGTGGAATGAAGATCATGATGTGTGGGCACTTCGCCTGGGAACCGTTCGGTATAGTGCTATTTTTATTGACAGAAATGTGGCCTTATTAGATGAAAATGTTACGATTTTTTGGACTTTTGATCCAAGAAGTATCGCCTCCGGTCATAAACTTTCGATTGATATTTCACTCATGAA